AAAATTAATTTCTTTTTTTCTACAAAAAAAAATAATTTAAATAATAGTTACTTGGATGTACATAATATAAATATGTAAGTTTTGTTTTATCTACAAATATCATGATTAAAGTTATGAAATGGCAGAATATAATTTAGGTTATATTTTCGTAACCTGCGCGCCAATTTGAATTTGAAGGTCGGATGCGGCGGGAAATATATAATGAAGAGTAATAACATTATCGACATTGTATAAAATATATTAATTTGAATTGATATGATGTGCAATTAAAAAAATCAAATGGAGTATGAGACGTTCCCGCCAAATATGATGGCCGCGTTTGACTTCGTGGCGCGTACAACCAAGCAAAGTGTAGTTAACATAGAACCGTTAGTAGTTAACTCCAACTTACCCGACCAGGCCAAGGCGAAAATCCTTTCATCTTCGCCCTGAAATCCATAAAGATATTAATTAATAATCACTGTTTACATTGCACTACTTTTATTACAAACATTCATTAATTAACACGTAATACACACCATACAAGATCACCTAGTTTGAATACTTCTGACATAATGACACTTCCGTACGTTTCTCACAATCGGCAAGCGACTGACTGACGAGTAGAGCGTCGTTTGTGCATGACGACGTGATCCAAATACCCCCTCCAACATACTCAATGACTCAAATGAATGTCTTATTTCTATTTATAGATTTAATTACTGAAATGATCAATATAAATATATATTTACCTATTATTTTTACGAAATTTATTATATTTTATAAGAATAATAATACTACAATAGTGTTAATTTCTAATAGCTTATTTCCGGTGATATAAAAAATTCTGATTTGTTAGATTCCCGTCCTACAATCTAATTTTCAATATCGTTTCATGAATAGCCAATCAGAATTGATTTCATAATTATAACATTTTTATATATAATTTTTATATACAGTATGAAATAAATATATAAATTACATTTAAAAATAATAATATAAGTTTTATTATAAGAAAAGAAATATTTGCTAATAAATAAAAAAAATTAATTGTTCGATAAAGATAATGATAGACGTGAAAATGCAAGGAAATCTATGTTCACGGCGATACAGCTTTGCCAGCTGTCAGCCATCGATTGTAAGAACTTTTGCTGGCTAAGAAAGAAGCGTTACCTACAAAAACAGTATTTTTATTTCTTCTAAATAACCAAAATAATTCACTCGCGATTCATATAAATTTCACCAGAAATGGATAATAATATTCATTACAATATGGTATGTTTTATAAATGATGAACATAATATATTTTTCATGTGCAATATTTTAAATACGCTAATGAACAATTTACAATTTGTTTCAAATTGCCAATATGTTTTTTATTTAATAAATATATTTTATATTTATTAAAATAATATTTTTATATATTATAATATCACTTGTGCATGAATACTGGCATGCAAATGTTGATAAAAACATTGTCTTGTGCAATTGTCGTTTGTTTTTTGAAAGTAATTTCATATAAAAAATTAAGTCCAATAAAAACTACCTTTTCTTTGTTATATTATTTATTTTCTTAATATTGGAGATTAAAAAAAAATAACATTGTTAGTCATATTAAAAAATATATGAACTATTTAAGTATAAGTCTTATTATGAAATATTAAAGATAAATAATTATAATTTAATTTTAGCCTTTACAAACAAACAGTAATTCAAATGGAGAAGCATCATCTCAAAATGAAATACCTACATTAACTGTAACTTTACCAATCATGCAAAATGATATAATTAATTCAGGAAATATTGCTGCAGCACAAACTTCAATTGAAAATCGAATGGTATGATATAAATTTGTTATTATATGTTTAAAATTATTATATGTTTTAAAAATTATTATTAAGGAAATTATAACTATAGGCTGAAGGAGAAGAAATTCCACCTCCAAAGGCAGATTTTTCTGCTCCACCACCTTATGAAGTAGCCACAAAATTACCTAGTTATGAAGAAGTACAACGAGAAAAAACATTACAAGGAGAACCTTATCCTCAAATGCACATGGTAAATAATTTTAAAATTATATTATTATTAATAATAATAATATTATTAAAAATTAAATATATATTATATCATTAATTAATATTTTATAGCCTGAAAATATTAGAACATCACCAAGGCCTTTAACAATTCTGGCTATAGATACTGAAGCTGCAGAAGGAGATCCAGAAAGTGGTTTACTTGGCACTGATTTTATGTTCTTTACAGCATTTTTGGGTAAATTTTAGATATAAATATTAATAAAATTATTAAAATATTTAATTAGTTTGCTATATCTTATAATAAAAAATATGTATAGTTTACATAAATTTTTTATTATAGTTGCATTTTTGTTTAATTGGATTGGATTTTTACTTTTGATGTGTTTCTGTCATACAATTGCATCTCGATATGGAGCACTATCTGGTTTTGGTCTATCTTTAACAAAATGGACACTAATTGTTAAACATTCCACTGATCTTGCATCACGTGAAAATTCATGGCTATGGTGGTTGATAATGGGATTTGGTTAGTATTTTATTATTGATATTATTTTTATACATTTATATTAATATAAAATTCATTTAATTTTTAGGAGTTTTGATTTGTGCACGAGCTATTGTTCAATATTTGAACATTAAACGTGGTTGGAGATTATTACCTGGAAGTGCTCAGGAACGTTTACTATTTTTTTATTAAGCCATTAAACCTGCACTTTTATGTAACTTGGCTTTAGAAAAAACATTTCTATTTGGGGTTGTATTTGTATAATATATAATCTACACCCTTTAAAAAACATTACTTTATATTGGCTATATATTATTCTATTACTAGAAAAAAATTAAAATTATTAAAACTATTTGCCAAATTTGCTTATACACTTACATATGAGATAAACAAGGCAAGATAAAAACAGAAATAAGATAATTTTTGCACACTATTTTATGTATTAGTGTCACATATATAAAATAAAATGTAAATTTTTATTGCTCAAATAGTATGGACAATGCTTTAATGTGAGATATTATTAATTTATACATTAACATTATTCACTTAAATACGAATTGCTTTGAAACATTTAGAAACATGTATAAATTTACTTATAAAATTAAAATCACGAGTAAAAAATTTATTTTGGAAAGGGAAAAACATATAATCATTGTCCTTAGACAGATATTAAAATATAAAAGTTCTAATAGTGATATTGTGTAATACCTGTTAGTACTAGATAAGCTTTTAGAATTTTGAATATGATCTATACACTGATAATATGAATTGCTTGTTTGTATATTATTATAATTTATAGAGAGAATTCTTATTGAATTTGAAAATATAAATTACTCATATAAATTATACAAATGTATGGGTATATATATGTATATGATATGTACACATACATAAATGTATAAAAGAATTGCTGCAAATCCACATATATGCATTATATGTTATACTGTCAAAAACTTCATTGTTATATACTTATTACAACAATATAAAAAGCTAATGTGTCTTATATTTTTTTATCCACAATTATGTAAATATATTTTTTCGTATTGATTTTAACTCAGATTTAAATTATTATAAATTATATTTTAATTATAAAATATATAAAGTAATAGATGTTTGTATGCATGTATTTTTTAAATATAATTTTTAATTTTATATAATATATGAATGAAAATTTTACACGAAAGGTCCCATGGTGTAATGGTTAGCACTCTGGACTCTGAATCCAGCGATCCGAGTTCAAATCTCGGTGGGACCTTCTTCAATGTTATTTTGCTATCATAATAAATTCAAATAGGCTTTTAGGCATGAAATCATTATAATAATTATGAACTATGTAAATTTTATTATCTAAAATAAAAAAAACTTATATTAAAATTAAAAAAATAAAATTATATTATAAATATTAAGAATGGGGTTATCAATAATATAGAACAGTCCTAAACTAAATATTATGTAGATATAAAATTTAATATATTTTTAATATAATACTCGATGCATTGTTTTGTATATTGCTATAATATAAAATAAAATAATGTACTATCACTGATGATTGAACGTAACATTAAAATAGTAATAAATTCTTATTTTAATTAATTCTTAATTAAAACTAATGCTTAAAAAAAAATATTAATATTTTGACAAGGTATTATATTAATTTTTTAAACGAGTTTTAAATTCTAAGAGATCAGTATTTTAAAAATTTTATAGAAAAAAATTTTATAATTATATAATTATTAATTTTTAATATTTATATAATTATTAATTTTGATAATATTGATTCATGAATCATAAATAAGAAACAAGATAAATTTATTATTTAATGGAATTTTGTTTCATCTTCTGAAATACCGATTGTGCAAATACCGATCTATCTTCTCAGATAGAGCTGATAATCAATTCTCGTTCTATCTTCATTCTTTTTCTACTGTTTGCAGTTTTTATTTATATGCGTTTTATTTGTAATATTCTAGAGATGGCGTTGATTTCTATATTTTTCTATTTCTGTCTTTCTCTTAATATGCTCTTGTCTTTATTTATTCTTGGCACGTGATTATTTATGAGATACAAAATATCAATTAACATTTTCATAATTTCTCTTTTAAAATTACAATATATTTTAATCTTTAATATAAAATTAATATTCCAATAATTTATTTCATATTAGTTTATGTAAATATAATCACGTATAAAATACAATATTTCATATATACTTACAAAATATTCTATAATAGAATATTTATTCCATTTTTTTTTATTGAAATTTAATTTTAATTTTAAAATATTGTAATTTTATTCTAAGCTCAATCTTAAGAATGATATTAAAATAATATCATGTTTGTATTTGAACTTATCGTTTTAAATTATATACAATAAAATTATTAATTTTTTTAAAATCAGAATTTCAATTCGCGTAACAAAAGTTTTATAAGATGTTAAATCTATGATATAACACGTTTATGGTAATAGGCTTAATAAGCAAACAAGATTTGAAAAATCTAATTCATATATGGATAAATATTATTAGTTAAAATATGGAAATTTCATTAACGAATGAAAACAATAATTGTAAAAAAAATCCAATTGTGTTTTTAGATATAGCAATTGAATCTGAAAAAGGTAGGGTTATAATCATAAAAATAAACAAGTTAATTTTTAATGTATATTAATATTTTTTTTTATATTTCATTTAATTTGAATTTAAAAATTATTTATATAATATAGTTGGAAGAGTTGTGATAGAACTTTTTAAGGATGTTGTACCTCGAACAGCAGAAAATTTTCGTGCATTATGTACTGGAGAAAAAGGTATTGGAATCAATGGTAAAAAGTTACATTATAAAGGATCAACATTTCATAAAGGTATACTAAAAATAATATTTTCTAAAAATGATATAAAAAGATTAATATTTAATGAAGAAGTTTTGTATGGTTCAGTATTATCACAGGTTATGATCCAAGGTGGAGATATAATAAATTTTAATGGAACAAGCGGAGAAAGTATATATGGAATAAAATTTGAGGACGAACATTTTGGGCTCACTCATTCATCAGGAGGATTACTAAGCATGGTAAATGAAGGTTATCCAAATAGCAATAGTTCTCAGTTTATAATTACTATTTCAGCCACTTCACATTTGGATAATACCAATGTAGTATTTGGTAAAGTTTTAAAAGGAATGGGTGTTGTATTAGAAGTATCTCAAATTAGAACAATTAATGATATACCAATTGAGGTAAACAAATATTTTATTTAATTTTTTATATTTGAATTTAATTATTATTAATTTTATGAATATTTTTTATTATAGAAAATATATATAATTGATTGTGGTGAATTAAAAGGAGATCAAAATTGGGGTATGGAAGAAAATGATGGTACAGATGATGTGTTTACTCCTTGGCCAGAAGATTGGAATTATTCTAGATATATTAAACAACTTGATGTAAGAATCTTTATCATATATATTTTTGGAAATGAATTATTTTTGTAATTATTTTTCATATTTATGGATATTATAGTACAAATATATGATGGAAGTTATTAAGAAGATAAAAGATTCAGGAAATTATTATTTCTTACGAAAAAATTATGTAGATGCAGGCAGAAAATATAAAAAAGCATTACGATATTACAAGTGGATGACAAAGACAATAGATGTATCTAATTCTAATGAATTAATGATGAATATTAAAGTAACCCTATTACTTAATCTTGCTGCTGTTAAATTGAAAGAAAAGGATTATCGTGAAACTTTAAAACTTTGTTCAAAGGTAAAATATAATTGAATATAAATTATAAATATTTTGAAGTATCTATTATAAATAATAAATATTTTATATTTAGGTGTTACAATTAGAGAAGAACAATAGTAAAGCTTTATTTAGGAGAAGTCAGGCACATATGGGGCTAAATGAATATGATTTAGGTTTAGCAGATTTAAAGCAAGCATTATTAGAATCTCCTAATAATAAAGATATTTTATTAGAGATTGATAAAGTTAAAAGAGTTATGAATTCATATCTAATAATTGAAAAAGCTTCTTGTCAAAGAATGTTTAAATGAAAATATTTTTTATTTAATATTTTATAAAATAAAATTGTGTAAATATATTTTTTATCTATATTTTAAATTAAAAATAAAAATAAAATCATTTTTATATATTAATGTTTTCTAAAAAAACATTGTAAAATAATTGTATTTTAGCTAAAATTATTAAAAAAAATTTGTACATAAAAAAATATCTATATTCGTTTTTATTTTTTTTTTTTTTGATAAATATCATTTATTTTCATTTAAGCATTTTTATTATTCAATAACAATCTTCATGTACAATGTACAAGAAGAAACAAAAGCATTATAATTGTTGAAAATATATTGCTGTGAATATTATTCTGTTAAAAATATATTTTGTATATATTTTGTTAAAAGTTATTAAGTATAAAAGGAACATGTGAAGCATGCTTATATCACATTAAATATCCATTTTGTATAGTATATTGTTGTTATAAAAATTTAATTATATTTGAATAATTATTTTTTATCATAATTTAAAAGAATGCATTCCAATATTTTAGGATATTATAATGGAGGGAACAGATTAAATAGATCATGTACAGAAATCAATTATATAAAAGATTAAATATTATTACAAACATCTATTCATGTGTACGACTTATTTATTTAACATTTATATTTAGTTCTTAACAATTCTGAGCATCGAATGTCTTATGTGACATAGTAAGTCACGCAAAATAAATTTTAAGACAGTTTTAGTAAGAGCTCACATATAGTTTCTTTCATTGTAATAATATTCTTACAATATGATTTATTTTATGGAAATGTTTTTAATAATAAAACTTAATTAATATACATATAAACAAATTTTTGTAGCGTTCTTTGTCATAAACAAAAATTCATTTTTTAACAATTAATTCGTTTTCGTTGAAAGATTTTATTTGTTTTAATAACACTGTTTATCTATGTAACAAGTTTAGTTAATATCTACAGCAATTATATGTAGTTTTTGTAATGACTAGATTAAAAATGTTTTCATTATTACTTACATTTTAGAGTAACATTGATTCTTTTTAGAATTTATACTTTTAAATAAATAAATAAATAAAAAAATAAATACATACAAAACAATAATTATCTAGGTAATATTATCCAAGAAATTTCTTAGCAAAACTTAAAAATATTCTGCAATATTAAGGAATGCATCATATATCAAAATTCTTATTTGTGTGCTTATAAATATTTCAATCTGAGAATTGACGAATTCTGAAATTGGAATTCACGACATTAAATACATCATTTTTTCTGTACAGTAATATTTTTATGATATTTTAAAGAAGGGGCAAAGCTTTTTGTAAGACATTCTTAATACATTTTGTACATCGATAAATTTTTCAAAAGCCAGATATGTGGACGGAAAAATTTCAAAATTGCTTTAATGACCACGATGTACATAATAAATTAACTTAATAAAATAATTATTTAAAACTATATCTTTGGTATTTTTTCTTTTTAAATATATTGTATGATAATCTTTTGAACTTTGATGAGTTTGATTTTAAAATATTATAGATACAATATAATTAAAAGCATTAAATTTTGGAATCTGAATATAATTAAGACTAGTTTTTGAACTTATGTACAATGAATATTTTTAGCTAAAAATGTATTAATGTCATTCATTCATACGTTAGATTATTCATTGAAATTTATGTTTGTTTCTTATTACTTTTGTTCAAGGCTTTTAACTTTACATCTTCATTCTTTTTGTTATTATTTTCTATATGTTTTCTCAGATTAATTCATTCATTCATACATTAGATTATTTATTAGAATTTATGTTTGTTTCTTATTATTTTTGTTCAAGGCTTTTAAGTTTGCACCTTCATTCTTTTTCTTATTATTTTCTATATGTTTTTTCAAGTTAAAGTTACTCCTTCTCAATTTCTTCTGAATTATTTTCCTTTTTCAAGTTCATACAATTTTCTGTTGTAATTTCTGTTTCAATTAAATTGTGCAATTCTTTACATAATGTTTCTTCACAAACTTCACCATTTATAACAGCATTATCAATTACATCATATTCATTTTTTACATCATGTTCTACTACATCCTTGAAATCAGGTTCTATAATCTCTTCACAACTTTTAAACATATCAGGATGATCATTTGAATTTAATACTTCGGGATTTTCATTAGAGTTTAGAATGTCAGTATTAACTTCATCATCTGTCGTATCAGTGGATTGAGATACTTTTTTTAAAACACTATCAATCAAATTAGATGCAAAACTTTTATTTTCATTTCCTTCATGAATTGTTTGATGAATTGGCAATGTTTGTGGTCTATGTGGACGAGCGTAAGGAAACAAATTTTCTTCGCCTGCCGGAGTATGAACAGCTGAGATTTCTGTTTGAGTTGCAACACCATTATCAATAAGATTGGATTTTGATTGCATACTTGACATACATCGTTTAATTTCTGACATAGAATCTTGTAATTGTTGAACCTATATATATATATATATATATATACATATATAAAGTAGATTTATAAAAATATATAAATATTTTTTAAGCAGATTTTTAAAAATCATTTTTAAATCATTAATAATTTTAAAAATATAATTGATATGTTACCTGACTATGCAATAAATTACATGTTTGTGTTAAATTAGTTACAACATCTACATTTTGTGCAATATTTTCATTGTCATTATTTGTAGAATTAGGTTGGAGACTAACAACTTTTTTCCACAATGCATTAATTGCTTGCATTTGCAATAACTGTAACTTATGTTCACTTTCTAAAGCAGTTCTAGTGGCTTCCATATCAGTAGTTAGTTTCCTAAAAGATTAATAAATTATACAATATTTTGGGAAAAATATTAAATTGAATTAAAGAGAAAATGATCATACTGAATATACTTATTTGTTCTTATCATTTCAATAGTTTTCAGTATAGTAGTTGCTTTTTTATTAAGATTTCTTGTATGATATCCTCTCCACATTCTTTGAATACATATTGCTGCTTTTTCAGCTTCATCTTGATCTGTTTTAAGATAAAAAATTATTTTACTTTAAAAAATTTTTATTGTTTTATAATTTATTTAAAAAAAAAAGAAAAAAATAATTACCTTTATTGTCTTCTTGTCTTCGTTGAATAGCTCTATGTCGAATACTATCTAATTTTGCTTGACATACTTCGCTATCTTCATCACTACTTTGAGTAGCATTATCAGCATCTCCATCTCCATTTTTTTTAATAACATTGCTTTTAATTTTATCATTTGTACTCTTTGGTCTTTGTATATTTCTGCCTAAATTTGGTGAATTTTTTGTATTTCGTTTGGCAGACAATGTTTTGCTTTGAACATAGTTATTAATTTTCACACTATGGGGACATTTATTACTAGTATTTGTAATAATAGGTTTAGCAATATTTGGTTTTCCAGTAGTACAATTTGTTGCTGAATTACTTTTTACAAGTGTATTTGCTTTAATAGAAGTAAGATTTGTTTTTGCCATTGGATTTACTGTATTTATTATAGGAATTGCTTTACTATCTCCATCACAAGTAGGTTTGTTTGGCACTGTAATTTGACATGGTGATGTTAATTTACTTGGTGGAGTTTTTGCTAAAACTCGAGAAAGACCAGATGGTGGACGAAAATCTGGACTCATTAAAGATTCTGGAACTGGTACTAGTTTTGTTGCAGCTTGCAAAGGACTTGATGTTTCTACAAATCAAGTTTTTAATTATGTATATTTATTTAACAAATATAAATACAAATGCTAATAATTGATAAGATTTATTACATACCTTCTGTATCAACAATATTTGATGCTTTATTGTTTAAAGTATTGCAAAGCATATTTGGATCCAAACTTTGAGTCATTAAGGATTCTTGATCTTCAGGTAATAATGTATGGCATGAAGAAGCTATAGTATCAGTATGACAACTAGATACCATTCTATCTGGTGATCTTATTCTTAATGAATTTCTTGATGAACCTAATTAAATATCATCTATTTTTATTAAGTTTTTAATTTCAATAATTATTATATATTTAATTATATTTATATATTTATTACTAAGGCAGAAGCATGCAAATAATTAATAATTTAATTATGAATAAATAAGATAAAAATTGTGAACTATGTGAAATATATTTCCAAATCGTCAAATGCTAATATGCTAAACAAATTTTCTAATTAGCATCATTATCATAACATTTGCAATTTTTCATTCTCCAAAGTCATTTGCGCTATAAGCTTAAAAACGTAATCACATAAAAATATACTATATACTATAGGCATAAAAGAGATAAACATATGCATTAATCCAAGATAAAATTTTTTCAAAATGTACTATATTATATTTTTATTATTACTTAATTCTAAGTTTATTATTTTAAATTATAAATAATATTTATCTTAGATTTATTATATAATAATATTATCTTAGATTAATATTTATCTTAGATTTTTACACATGCTTATAATGTAATTGTAATCATGTACAATTAATTTTCATTTTGACTTTGGATACCTTTACAAGGTGAATGGCACACACAGTATTTTGCTTCATAAAATTTTGGCGATTGTAAGCATTTATCTTCATAGTATGTCAACATTGGCGCAACTAGAGAAAATACATTATAACTAAGATATATAGATGCATGACGACTGGAAAGTTTACATCACTACTAGTCCACGTTTTATAATTAATAAAAAAACTTTAAACAAATTTTTATTGTATTGACAATAATAATAAAGAAAATCAAGTCAGTTAATCTTAACTCACTGGCACGTCTAGGAGAACCTGTCCTGTTATGACTAAGTCTACGCCTAGTGGCTGGAGAAGGACTCATTCCGACGCTACTTAAGCTGTGCACACTTCCAGTATCGCTTTGTTGATTTAATTGTTGTTGATGATGTTGTGCTTTACTTAAAATCAGCCTTAGCTTCCTGTCTGTTTCATTTTCTAAGGATTCACCAGAAAGTGGGCAAACTGATGCTAAATACTGTGCAAGCAATGCATGTTCGCCAACACGGAATTGTCTACCACGTCCCTGAGAATATAGCCACTCTGCTTTTAAACTGAGTGACCATAATTTTAAGTAAATTTTAATTCTTTAAACTAAATAAAATTCTGTATAATTAAATTATATATCATGACTAATGTATCTAAAAAGATACCCACCTTTCAATAGGATCAACAGGATAGCCATCAATTGATTTCAAGCTCATACACCAATTGATAACAAAAGGTCGATAATCAAAACCACTATAAGCTATTTGTTAAGAAACTATAGCTGTAAATCTACAGTTATAAATATTTTTTATACCTAGAGCTCTCTACAAGCATATTTGATAAAAAATAACTTTATAAAATGACATCCAGAATAATGAAAATGTTATAAATATATTTCTGCTATCTAATCTGATTTCTAAAATCTAAATTAACATTATTAATATAAATTATATAATTACATGTAAAAAGGATACGTACTATTACCTGTCATACTAACACATGGATTATTAGCAATTGAAAAATTTATTAAATTTTTTAAATTAGCTAAATGTGACATTTCATTTAAATCAGTAATGTTATTATTTGCTAATGTAAACGTTTCTAAAGAAGTAGGTAAATAGCGTTCACATTGCCTTAATGTTATTATACGATTGTTATGTAGAAACAATTCCTAAAATACCATTAATTTTATTAGAATCAAGATTAAAGATCATATATTTTATTATTATTATATATTATATATTCAATATAATTGAAAAAAAATATAAATTTTAAATTTTTATATTATTTATATATTATATTTATATTTTATAATATTTATAGTTACTTTTAAGTTCCGTAGATAAGATATGTCTGAGATATGACTGATACTATTTTCAGACAAGTCCAAATGCTCCAATTTAGTATTTGTGTGCAAATGTTCAATAGACTAATAGATTAATATAATGTTATAAAGATTGAATAATTTATAATATCACATTAAATATATTAAAAAATTATATTTATACCTTTATGTTATTACCAGCTAAACAAAGTGTATGTAAATTTATCATATCCTTTATACCTTCTATGGTTAAAATACCATTATTTGCTAGATTAAGAGTTACAAGATTATGTAACTTTGATACTCCATACATACGTAGTAATTGATTTCTTACTATTGATAGCTGAAATAATTTAATTATAAAAATTTTAATTAATTAATTATTCAACTTATTAAAAGTAATAATTAATATATATATAATATATCATAAAAATAAATAAATATATATATAATATATATACATAAATTTTATGTATCATATATATTGTCACAAACATATTACCTTGGTAATTCTATGGTAAGAATCAAGATTATCAAGACGCTGAAGTTCATTATCGTCAATGATCAATGTGCTAATATCTGCATCAGACGGACAACGAGGAAGCTTCTTTAAACCTTGACCACTTAGATCGAGTGTATCGCATACTAAGGATTCTATATAAGTTAAGTTAATACAGTGTTTCACTATTATTAATTTAAATAAACACATAAATATCTAAACATAAAATAACAGAAAATGTCAAAAGGCAAGTATAAGAACGCAATAAAATTGTAGCATTTATATATATATATATATATATATATAAATTAAATTTATAACTTGTAAAAAATTAAAATATTTTAGAAATATCTAAATTGTTTTTATGAAAACAATTAGTATAAGAATTGTATAAATATTAAATTTTTGCTAACCCGTCGAAGCCATGATGAACACAATAAATTGGTAGACGCTATGAAGATGTCGTCGTAATCACTATAGTAAATACTTAAAAAATAAGGAAATTTTATACTTTATAAAATATTCACTTTTCTCTTTATTTTTCTATAAAAATATAAGAAAATATAAAAAAAATGAGATAATATATAATATCATTTTACTATTTTTCTAATCACATTTATTTTTATTAATAATATTTTCTCACAATAGATTTAAATTGATATAATTAATTTTTATTTAAATAAAAAAATGTTATATAATTAACATTATAATAATATTATATTTATAATATACAAATTTTCTAACTATAATAAATAATAAATAAATGATTTTAAAATTCAAAAAAAATATTAATATGGCAATTTAAAAATTCAATATACTTTTGATATAAGTTCACAAATTAAATTAAAATATTAGGTTGTTAAATATTCTTATAGTTTTTAAAATATAATTTATAAATAACAGGTAAGATTTTATGTAATATAATTAATTAATAACATATCTTTTATATATTATCGCAATATTAAAGTCACGTGTTAACTTTGTAATGTGAAATTATAAAATTATAAAAGAATTAAATTAATAATGAAACGTTATTTAATTAATGTATATAATAGTTACAAATATATTATTATAAATCGCAACATTAGTGAAATTGCAAGCAAGCAATTTACAAAAAAAATTATTAACAGAAAACATAAGTCCTTTCTAACCTCAAAGAAAAATACTAATTCATACAATAAAAATTATAAAAACGTTATTAATAAAGATTATATTCTTAATGCATCACTTAAATCATCAAATAAAACTCAAATAAATAACAAATGTAAAATTTTATTTAATGTATCTAAAAATTATGAACAATGTTTTTTATCACCAATAAATAATATGAATAATAATTATAAAAATGTTCTAGTGGAACATAAAGATATACAAATATTAGAAAATAAAGAAAAAGAAATTTGTAATGAAAGAATTAATGAAAGCGATATAAGAATTAATGAAATAAATATACAAATGCTTCCAAAATCATTACATAAACAGATATTTAAAAATTCTGAAAAGTCACAAAAAATATCAAAAGAAGAAATACAATCTATAAAAAATCATTTGCACTTATATGGAATAAAAATAGAAGATGCAACTAGACTTCCTAAAGTTGATATTAAAATACCTCCTTTGGAAGGAGATGATATTGAACAACATTTTTATAATATTGGAAAGGCACAAATTAAACCTTACATAAAACTTATAAAAAATATTATGAAAAATATTCCTCAAATGCCAAATCAATGGATATTGAATGAAGGATGGACAAGATATACTGTTGATAACATACAAAAAGTAGATTATCCTTTAGAAGATGCTATTATTTTTGATGTAGAAGTTTGTATTAAAGAAGGTTTTTTACCAACATTAGCAACTGCAGTAAGTGATAAAGCATGGTATGGTTGGGTATCAAAGTCTCTAGTTGATGGTGTGAGTAGAAACTTTGAAGGAAAACAATATACTATGGATGAATTAATACCAATGGAAAGTATAATTACTGAACATGGTGAAAAATTAACTTCTTTTCATAAAAAGCCAAAAATTATAGTTGGTCATAATGTATCATTTGATAGAAGTAAAATTAAAGAGCAATATTGGTTAAAACAAACAGGATTAAGATTTATTGATACAATGTCACTTCATATATGTATTAGTGGAATCAACAGTTATCAGAGATCTATTTTAAATTCTACAAAAAATGTAGAAGAAAAATATAATTTACAGATGCGAACTTCATTAAATAATTTAGCGGATGTTCACAAATTTTATTGTGGTTCTGAAATAAATAAAGATGTCAGAGAAGTATTTATAAATGGAACTTTGAAAAACATTAAAGAAGATTTTAATTCTTTGATGATTTATTGTGCAAATGATGTAATTGCAACTCATAATGTTTTATGTAAATTATTTCCTATTTTTGAAGAAAGATTTCCTCATCCTGTTACTTTAGCAGGAATGTTAGAGCTTGGTACTGCATATCTGCCAATAAATTCTAATTGGAAAAAATATTTAAATGAATCAGAGACTACATTTGAAGATTTAAATTATGAAACTAAAATTACTCTTACTAAAAGAGCTAATGCTGTTTGTAAACTTTTGCATAATGAAAAATATAAAGAAGATTTATGGATGTGGGATGAAGACTGGAGTACACAAATGCTTAAAGTAAAAACACAGTCTTCAGGAAAGAATTTAAAAAATATATCTCAAATACAAAATGCAAAAAGAAATAAAAAAACAAAAACTCAAAGTTATTTAACAGATGATGAAGATGAAGAAGATCCTTTGGAAAAAGAATTTGCTTATTTGACAGAGACAAGAAAATTTTTACCTTTAAAATTACCATATATGCCAGGATATCCTGCTTGGTATCGAAAACTTTGTTTCAAAATAAATGATGAAAATTGGTCTCCAGGTCCTCAAAATATAAGTATTTCTAAGCAAATTGTTCCAAAACTTTTAAATTTGACATGGGAGAATTTTCCATTACATTATGTAAAAAATAAAGGTTGGGGTATTTTAGTTCCTCATACTAATGATTTAAATATTGAAACTAAAATACCTTTAAAGCAGCTTTTAGCTCAATGTGCTTTATCTAAAAAAGAATATTTATCAGATGAAATATATACAATGTCAATAATGAATGAAGAATTGAAAAATGATCTACATAAAACTGAATTTTGGTATAACATAAAAAAAAAGCCTAATATTCAATTAACTGATATTTATAAAGGCAGTGCACATTGGTGCGATGTTAATATAGATAACTGCTGTTACTTTTTTAAATTGCCTCATAAAGATGGGAAAAATTATAATGTTGGTAATCCTTTAAGCAAAAATTTTTTGAATAAATTTTCGGAAAACATATTAGCTAGTTCAGATACCGATGCTATGAAAATATTAAAAATAGCTAGAATGATATCATATTGGAGAAATAATAGGGATAGAATTATGTCACAATTTACAATATGGTTTGAAAAATCATATTTATCATGCAGTATTAGAAGTTCTAAAAAATCAATGTGTTATGGAGCAATTTTACCTTTAGTAGCTGTATGTGGGACATTAACTAGGCGAGCAGTAGAACCTACATGGATGACTGCATCTAATTCTGATACTGAACGTGTCGGTTCTGAATTACGAGCAATGATTCAAGCACCACCAGGATATAATATTGTTGGCGCCGATGTTGATAGTCAAGAATTGTGGATTTCGTCCATAATAGGTGATGCTTATTATAAAAAAATTCATGGAGCAACACCATTTGGCTGGATGACATTAATTGGTACTAAAGCTAATGAAACTGATATGCATAGTGTTACTGCTAAAGCAATTGGAATTTCTAGAAATCAAGCTAAAATTATCAATTACGCTAGAATTTATGGTGCCGGCCAAAAATTTGCCGAAACACTCTTGAAACAATTTAATCCGTCCATGACGGATAGCGAAGCTACATCAAAATCTCGAAAAATGTTTACTATGACAAAAGGAAAAAGGATTTATAAATTAAAACCTGAATATATTAATAATTATATTGGTAATAAACATTATTCATCATACGAAGCATATAAAGTATCACAATTATATGGTAAAAAAATATCAGAAATGTTCGAGAAAAGTAAATGGATTGGTGGTTCAGAATCTGCAATGTTTAATAGATTGGAAGAAATTGCGTGTAATCCTCATCCTGTTACACCTTTTTTGAACTCTAGATTAACTATGGCGTTAGAAAGTTCAATAAATGATGAGAAATTTTTACCTACAAAAATAAATTGGGTAGTGCAAAGTGGAGCAGTCGATTTTTTACATTTAATGCTAGTTTCGATGAAATGGCTTATGAAAGACCATGTCAGATTTTGTTTATCATTTCATGATGAAGTGCGCTATTTAGTGCCGTCAAAATATAAATACAATGCAGCACTTGCCATGCATATTACTAATCTTTTAACTCGATCATTTTGTGCATCGAGATTGGGAATGAATGATCTTCCGATGTCAGTAGCATTTTTTTCTTCTGTAGAAGTAGATACGGTTTTACGTAAAGAACCTGAAAATGATTGTATTACGCCATCGAATCCTCATGGCTTAAAAAATGAGTATGAAATTCCTCCAGGAGAAAGCTTGGACATATGGTCTGCTATTGATAAATCTAAAGGTTCTTTGGGACCGTGGACTGCAAAATAATAAAAAATTGAATTTAATTAATAATATGAGAAATAAAAATAAAGATTGATATAAAATTGATATAAAATATAAAAAATGATATGTTAAAAATCATTGAATAACATTAACAAATAATGATAAATAAAAAATGATAATGAAATGAAAATTTGTTTTAAAACATAATATATATAAAATTTTTGTTATATTTGATTTTATAGATTAAAATGTCCAAAGCAACCAAACGGAAATATGTTACCAAAGAAATTGAAGATTTGAGCATTCCTACAGAATCACAATCAATAGTTCGAGTTGTAAAACCATGCGGTAATAATCTTCATGAAGTTATTAATCCAGCTGGAATTCAATATCTCGTATCTATGCCAGTAAAATTTAGGCAAAATATTTGGATAAAACGAGGAGATTTTGTATTGGTAGAACCAATTCCAGAAGGGGACAAAGTGAAAGCTGAAATTGTTAAAATATTAACACGAGTATGCATAATAGTAAATATATTTTTATATGAATGCACTTTTTTAAAAATAAAATTTATTTATTAGGAACATAAAAAATGGTATCGAGAACAAAACTGTTGGCCCCAAGAATTTGACGAAATTTCAAATTCGAAACAAAAAACAATTAAAGAAGATAGTAATAACGAAGAAGATGATCTTTTTGTAAATAAAAATAGATTATTACAAAATAGGATAGATAATAACAGTAATACAAGTTCTGAAGAATCTGATTCTTGTTAATGTTTTTGTAATGATATTATAGTAATAAAATAAGTATAATATTTATATACGAAAGCGATAAAATTGTCTATAAAAAAATAAAATAAATATTTTTTAAAATTATGTGTTATATTTTATTTGAAACTTATCTACAAATTAATATTTTATTTCACTATAATAATAATAAAAAAAAGTATATGTTTTCCTTTAACGAAGTCAAATGTTATCGAAGAAATTATCGCTGCATTGTCTGGTTAATCTTATCGATTAATATGATTTTTTGCAATACGATACATAATGTACCTTTTGTCAATGTTTATATTTTATCATAAAATGAAAAATTCTGTCTATTTTTAACATATTGAAAATTTCTCTCATCTCTTTAAAAAAAATATTTGAAATAAAGATAATTTTTTTAAATAAATTTATTTAAAAAATTTATTTAAAAAATTTATTTAAAATTTATTTAAAAAAGATTTTTTAAATAGATATTGTATTATAGATATTGTATCACAGAATAATATTTTTTAATATTCTTATAAATTATATGAATCGTAAAATATCATCATATCTCCTTGTTACATTGTAAATCGAAAATTCTTTTATGTTTAATGAATCACGATCATATAGATAAGGCAGTGACATAGTAATAAATATACTTATTTTATAATTAATTTTCATATTCATTTCATTCTATTTTGTTTAAACTTTCTTTTGTGACTTATAAATGCTATTTATTCATTGGATATAAATTTAATTTTATTGGAAACAAATTTAATAAGATATTTTAAAAAATAGATTTTGCTATTTATAAAAATTTAAAAAAAAAAATAGAGAAAAAAAATTTATTTTTTCAGTTCTTTAATTTTACCTAATTAAATATACGAAATAGTGCATTTCGAGATAGTTTGGAATGTAATAATTGAATGTGGAAAAAATTTTAAATCGAATAGAATATTTTAATGAAATATTATAGTGATTTTCTTATCACAAAATCAAGAGATTATTACGATGAAAGGTGTCCGATCATTAAGAATGTGCGTTCACTCACACAGTACAGTAGTCTGTTTCTGATAGTGATGATTGGCTGATTTAGCTTCAATTTGTCTTCTCCTTTATTTGGATTATTTATTTTGATTTTTTTCTTGTGTTAATGAGATTGATTTATGTGCTGAAAGACATACCGCTTATTTATCACCGTACACATTGTTTCTAAATTCTTTTTGCTTTCTTATAATTCTACATTTATATGTTTTTATAAAATAATAAATAAAATACATTATTGAAATATATTATATTACATAAAAATCGTGGAATTTTGTGCAAGTGTTTTATCTATTATAATATTATATAATTCGATAACTTGAAAATTTTTCTATTGTTTAATTATATATGTGTATTTTTATTCGTGAGAAAATCCAAATATTATAGAACAGTATATCGGTATCTGAAAGAATAAAAATGAAAGTATACGGTGGAACATTAACAAGAAATGATGGACTTAATGTTCGCGCAAAAGTATATGAAATTCAATTTTTAAAATCAAAATGACAAATTTGAACAATATACAACTTAATTTAGATGAGTGAATGTCAAAAACCAATATCTTTCTGCTATTTTATGTAGTGAAACAAGTGAAACAATTTCACGAAAGAATTTTTTCGATTTGTCTTAAACTGGTGATTTATTAATGATTATAAAGATCGCAATTTGTTGATTCATCATCAGATCAGATCAACAGGATAGTGTATTTGCCGATGATAATAATTTTTATAATCACGATTTATTGTTATAGAATTGTTATAGAAATTTATTTTCTGTGCATAAATATGTATTATTTTTAATTTAAATATTCGGCCATCGATATCCGATTTTTTTAGCGAAAGATTCCATTTGATATAGAAGGAGAAAAATTTGACAAACGTGAAAGTCATTATGGAAACATCGGACGACGATTCTTATGATTTTTGGAAGAACTGGGATTTGAAGAATTTAACGGAAACCGAATATTTGGCTAAAGTACTTGGGCCTAAATATTTATCTATGAGGATGGTGATACCGCTCACGATAATATATATGATAATTTTTGTAACTGGTATTTTCGGGAACATCGCCACATGTACCGTAATCATAAAAAATCCTGCGATGCAAACGGCCACCAATTACTACTTATTCAGTCTGGCCATATCTGACCTTATTCTACTTGTATTGGGTGAGTGTCGTTTATGTTTGCTCGTATTGATATGATACCAAGTCGATTTTCATTTTCCTTCTTCGTAAAAACAATTTATGAAGGAACAATATGAAGATAATGAACTTTGATAGATAGTTTAATAAAGATAAGCGAAAATATAGCGCAATCCTATATAAGTATTGATTTAATCAACGCGAAATATATAACCGAAATTAGATTTACGATGATCCTTAAAACGATATTTATCCGATTAAATTGTGCTAAATGGACGGTATTTTAATTAAAATTAGTAGCATTATACACAAAAAAGCGCAATATGTTAAATAAAATAAATTTATGTTCAAGTAATTAACAGAGATTCTTCTTACGAATTAGACTATGATGTTTAGATTGAGACCGTTTTACCTTCGTTGAAATTTGACGATAAAGGCTTTAAATTAATCTTCGTCTAATGTGTACATGAGCGATTGTTATCTACTCGATTGTTTGCTGATCGTAACGTCGTTTTTATTTACGTCATTTTTAGAAATTTGTTGGGGTAAAAATTGAAGACGCGCGAGTGTTTGTTTCTTTGACGAAAAAATCTTTGACAAATTAAAAGATTTGAAATAGCTACGAACGTTTACTATACGTTTACAAATTTTAGCTGTGTATTCGTTACTTGAATATTCGAAATTAAAGATGATATGAGACGATAAGAGTATCATTTACATAACTATAATGAAATTTAAATATCGCGTGAAACATTGAATTTTTGATCAAATCATGGAAAAATTATTGTGTAAATATGTATATTATGAAAACAACATGTAAAACTAATTTCAAAAATATAATTTGAAAAATAGAAAAAAATTCGAATTATTATCAAATAAAATTGCGATAAAGTATACAATGCTTATATACATTCGGTATGATCGATATCGCGTTACCGATTTTATGAAATATTAAATGTGATTCTATAGATATTATTTGGAATTAACATTTATTCGAGAAACATTTATTTACATTTAATTTAATTATTTATTTATTATTTAACATATATCGAACGTTTAATTTTTCCATTATTAATATACAAAATCCGGGAATAAATTTTCATTTGTTAATTAGCTTCAAATCGATAAGCAATTACTGATCTAAAAGATTGAAAGATAAATAATTTTTGAAATTGTATAATAAATACTTAAATCTCAACATGGGGGCTATAACTTCTTGTCTCTTTAATTTCAACGTGAATTATGACGTCTATGTATAAATTACTTTTCAAGCTTAATCAGTTGTAAATCGAGAAAATGAGTTTGTATACCAGAAAGATATGTATGTTTCTCAATTGTTATAATGATCATTGTTCCGATATAGATATTTGACGTCAATCGCGTGGTCATTGCAGAAATAAATTACAGATAACTATATATAAAAATATAATAAAAATATACTAGTGTTAACATGATCGAAATAAAATATCTTAATCTATTGATTGTCATCTGCAATTTTTTCTATTGTTATCATGCTTTGTTTGACATTCGCTTTTAGGATTGCCTAATGAGCTAAGCCTGTTTTGGCAACAATATCCATGGGTTCTAGGAGTTAGTCTTTGCAAAATCAGAGCATACGTATCGGAAATGTAAGCAATATATTTTTTAATTAATTTAATAATAATATTTATAAAAAAACTATATCACTGATTTTTATTTAAAATTTCACTTTATTTAATAGGTCTTCTTATGTATCAGTCCTTACGATAGTAGCTTTCTCTATGGAAAGATATTTGGCTATTTGTCATCCGCTTCGTGTTTATACGATAAGCGGCCTCAAAAGACCGATACGTTTCATTTTAGCTGCTTGGTCGATTGCACTGATTTCTGCCATACCATTTGCAATTTATACGAAAGTCAACTTGGTCGAATATCCACCAGGTTAATTAAACTTTAATGCATCACTTTATCCATCATTTGTAAATATATATTCAATAAGTTTCAAAAATATATAATTGTTTAGAGTCAGGGAATTATTCGGCCGATTCTGCGATTTGCGCTATGCTTTTACCATACATGCCTGATTTTCCTTTGTACGAGTTGAGTACTATTATATTCTTCTTGATACCAATGCTAATTATCTTGGTGGTGTATACTAGAATGGGTTTGAGAATCAGAAATAGTACGAAAGATACTTTGAACTCTGTGATAGAAGGAGCTATTCACGGAGATTCGAGACAAATTCAATCTCGAAGATCTGTGATTAAAATGTTAAGTAAGATTTTATCTTGGATTTTTTCTTAATGTAACTTTTTTTTTTACAAGAAACATCAAATCATAATCATTGTTTTAGGTGCTGTGGTTATTTTATTTTTTATTTGTTGGGCTCCTTTTCACACTCAGCGATTACTCTACGTTTATGCGCAAGAATCTGATTATTATCCAGACTTGAACGAATGGCTGTATATTTTAAGCGGATGTCTCTATTATTTCAGTACAACTATAAATCCCATTTTATATAATTTGATGAGCATAAAATACAGAAATGCGTTCAAACAAACAATTTGTTGTAAAACGAGGATAAGAAGTTGGGTTACGAGAGAATCTCAAATGTGTAATAACAGTTTGAGCGATAAAGCACGAAATTCAAGCTTCAAATGTTCTATGAGGTAGTAATATTACTAACGCAGTGACACAAAAAAGTTTTACAAATAATAATAATTTTTGTATGTTATTTAATATACTTATGATTTTAGATATACTATTAATCAAGCGAAAGAAATGTTTCGATTTACTCCAAGTCAAGAAAATGGTGGCAGAGATAAAAATATGAACGATAATATTCCTCGTAAATCATACATGCTGAAAAAAGAGGATTCCACATCGAGACCTCTTCTCAATCGAATGCATTCCGCACAAGAAAAATGGGAGAACAAAAATTTAGAATGTAAAATGAAAGATGAAAAATCCACGTCTACATCCAGCAGCATTTTGTAACTTAAATTGTACATTTTTAGATATTAAATTATTGTATATAAAATAATGTTAAATTAAATTAATTTTAAGTTAAGCATCCATTTTATTTATTTTCTGACGATATATAGTATTTTTTTTTATATAGTATATTATTGTATTTTTAAATTGATTTTTATTCGATTAATAATTATAGTATAATAATAGTAAAAGTAGTTTTAATAGTAAATTGTGAAATTCATAATGTACACAAGATAGACACAAATAAACAGTATTTTTTCGTCATGTTTTATAGCAACATTTTTATAAAGCAGAAATTCTATAAGAAAGACGAATAAAAATCTTTTAACGTCTAGAAGTGTGAGCAAAGAATGGGTTCCTGTATCAAAGAATGACGACATTATTAAATGTGTTTGTTAAAGACGAATCTTTTTCAGGAAATTAATTTAAAAATGTCTGGGGCCGTGAGAAATATATCTTATAAAATTTTCTTAGTATATAACTACTTTTCTCATTAAATTATTTTATTAAATATTCCAAACATATTAAAAATATTTTATTTATTAGCAAAGTTAAATTGAAAATATATTCTCTTCATTTTATTTCAATTCCTTGTTTTTATTTATTTATTTATTTATTTCCATTTTTTGTTTATACATATATCAAAATTCACATATTGAGAAGAAGTTAATGAAATAAATATGAGAAAAACATAAAAAATATATAATAAAATTCATATAATACTATTACTAGGAAACGATGAACGTTATTTGAATATTTAAAAATAGTGCATTCCTAACGAAACTTTTCCAAGAATTGTTTAACCGAGAAACAGAATTTAATTAATTTCCAGAGAGTTTTAAATATTGATTGACAAGTTCAAACTTTGTAATGAACATAGACGAAGAAAATATGATAAAGTTACGTCTGTATAAAGTTTATCATCATGAAAATTAAAGTTATGTTGCTATAAAATATCCATTTCTCGAGTTCACATATGATCAACGAAAAACTTTAAAGTTTATGGTTTATTTAATGGAATTTCATATTTGCGGGAATGAAAATAATTGCAAAACTTTTGATTATCTTGTTATGTAATTGATTTATTTCGGACAACCGTGTTAGAAATTAATTCTAGTTTTAAAATTATAAAAATTTTACAAGATGAAAAAAACCTAAGCATTTATCTGCAAAATAATATAGCATAGTATCCAATAATATTGTCTCTTAAATTGATCTAGAAAATAATTCTTATCGATGAACAAATGAATGTGTCAGCAATTTCGTCTGTCCAAATTGTCAAAATGAATGGTATAACCTGAATTGAATTTTCCCTACAATTTTCCGTCCATAATATTAATATATAATATTAATATAACATAATATATCACAAAAGAATGTTAGAGATAATATCTGAAGAACATAAAAGTGACAGTATTCGAAAAGATAATGTTCGATTTGATAGAATATTTCTATTCTTTGATAAAATTACTCAGCTTTGTGATAGTCGAATGCTTCTTCTCGGTGTACACGTGTATTCTTCGAATAATTTTCATACAATTAACGGGAGAGAAATCATTGCAATGGGTAATATTTCTTACATAGTAGTATTAAATTGTATAAACTTGTTAACTTCATTCACATTCTCTAACACGATTTTATTAATATTTTTATATATTTTCCTCTTTACTTTTCAGACTCAACGTTTTCTAATCTACTATTTATCTAAATACTTCCTTGTAAACTGAATAAGGACAAAAAGGAAACGTAATGCTATTATCTCGGTACACGGTAAGAAGACTTCAAAGGTAAAGCGCGAAATACGTGTCGTAAAGAAAATAGGAATTTGTTTCGTATTCTGTTTTCGTTTTTGTCCACGTTCATTCATTATATAATCTAATAAAATTATTTCTCATTTTTTTTTATTATTTTTCCATTAACGTAAAAAAAAGTTAAAAAAATAATTATATTGTAATTTATTCAATGTCAAACCATCATATATTTTTCAGTTCATTTTCTACATTTTTATTCTTGGCATGTTGACTTTAATCTTCGATTCGTGTACTTCGCCAATAGAAAAACCTTTCAAATATGAAGATCGTTTCTTGCTCTGCCATTTTAATCAGATACATCTTCCGAAACATGCAAATGAAATTGCTAAATTTAACCGTGATAAAAAGAGAAAATATTTGTTGGTGAAATCTTTGACAAAAAAATCGAAAAAAAAATATGTAGTTCAGTTTTTTCTTGAAAATACCGATTCTGAATCTAATAATTAAATAAAGAAGATACCGAAGATTATTCTATATTTTATTGCGGAGTTTGAATTATTAAAAGAATTATACAAATAAATGCAAAAGTTAGAAACCTAAAGATAAGATATCTAAACCAATCCAAAAAATATTCAGAGACGATGGAAGATTCGTGAATAATTGCAACATACAGAATAAAAATTTTAGAGACGCGAAACAAGATCGAAAAAGAAAAAGACTTCTTGAAATCAAGACCGAACATATAGGAATGTTTACGATTTATTGATTATAAGAGAAAATATGACATTCTGTGTATAACATGAATTGAAATAAATTTATACTTTGACATTATGAAGGTGGTTTTCAATATTGAACTATATAATTTAAATGGGCACTAAAGGTATCCTTTGATATTATTTTCAACTTTAGGTGATGTTAATTGCATGTATTAGTATGATTTAAGATCATTCATAACAACCCAAGTATAAACTTCTAATAACGACGAAGATCTTAACGAGCTCTTCACGCACACCTTGGAATTTTCTTCTTAAGGAGATGATGCCAAATCTTCGCAATGTATTCGAGTAATAATATTTTCATTCATTTATTCTTTTGACGTGATCGAGCGAAATGATCTAGCAAAATTAAATTTTCGAATATATATATATATATATATATATATATATATATATATATTAGATTATACCTGAAGAAGGGATAAAAGAAAATGAAATATTCAGAAAGAAATTTTCAATTTCTCGGTTTAAATCCAAATGAAAACCGCTTATCGTCTTATCGAAAAATTCAATTTGTCTACGCGTTTAATTTTATATCATTATTCTGGAATGCAAAAACATTGAGATGTATCTGTGAATGATAAATTTTTGCAAGTAACAACGTGTAAAATATATAAAATATATATAATCATATAAAAATTCTTCTTGATAATCAGAATTAGCGAGATATGTGATATTTTATTGGTCGAGTTATGTGAAGGGTTCATGTAGATTAAAGCAGAGGGTTGGTTACGTGCGTGGTAGATGGGCGCGAGAAACTCAGGAGTGAGTCGCGAGACGTCACTTGTTCACGATCTGGCAAACGGTGCGCTTTTCAGATCATCCCTCGAATGGAGGTGGCGGTGTTATTATCGTAAAAATATCTCGTGACATTTTTTTCCCAAACGTAATTAATTTTGATGTTAATGATGATGATGATGATGATCGTTAATGACGAATAATTTATCGACGAACAATGAGAAGATTCGTATGAAACGAATAATTTATAAAGAGTTTTTTTGTTTTCGAAATAATTTTCAAAGTGAGAAAGAACGTTTGTTGTTATGTGACTTAAGAGAAAAGACACCGGAAAGTAATCGATTTGATATCGGTGATGAAATTGATGAACAATGAACGTGTCGGAATATTCGTTTTATGAGAATATTAGCGACGAATTGAAATATTTGGAAAAAGTACGCGGCCCTAAGTATTTACCCTTAACGTTGATAGTGCCTATCACTCTCACGTACGTCGTCATCTTTGTAACCGGATTTGTTGGCAATATCATCACTTGCATCGTTATTTGGAGAAATCCGACCATGCAGACACCGACGAACTATTACCTGTTCAATTTGGCGGTATCCGATTTGCTGTTTCTAATACTGGGTAAGTTTTTTGATGCTCGTTATTCGTTTTTTCTTATTTCAGTGATATTTTATTAATATTAATATTATTTTACTAATAATTAATATTGATCAATAAGAATGATTTAGTTATGAACGAATTATAGCAATTACGAGTAGAATTTTATTTATTAAATTAATAACATTAAAATATTAATATTATACGATTTATAAATCTACAATTATTATTTAAAATAGTTCTTAAGGATACTTTTGACGATTTTGTCATATCGAAACATTAATCATTTATGATTTACGTGCTGTGCTGTTGCACTTTGACGCACGTGTAACGCATTGAATTCGTTTTATTGATAAAAATTATATTCAAGCATCATATTCACACTAGAAATGAAAGTTCATATAAATATAAAAAAAAAAAAAAAAAAAATAAGAGTATTAATGAGAGTTAACAAATTTTAAGAAAAGGATTTATCTCAAATAATTCGTTATTTATTGTAATATTTGATTTATTTCTTCTCAATATACAATAAATTAATAATTTCACTTAATACAAAATTTTATGCAGAATTATCAGATATCAGATAATATTTGCAGAATTGGTACATATTAAACTGTAATTGTTGGCTAATAAATTATCTTCTTTGCTGTAATGAACAATTTTGTGTTACAATTTTATTTGTATCGGGTGTTGACCCATGATCTCTGTGAATAAATTATTTTGCATCGAAAGTAACATTACAGTTAATTTATATTTACTGATTTCTGATTTTCTTCTGAGATCATTATTTTGTTTTATTTTTTCTTTTTTTAATTGATTCAATTAATATAATTTAACGAAATCTGATTTATTAATATAATCTTTGATTTATTAAGTAAAAACGAATATAGTTTGAAGAATATAATTTGAATTTTATAGATAAAGTTATGACAAGAAAAATATCTGATCAGAAAATGTTTCTCACTTAAATTATTGAATCTCTTTTTTGTTCCTGCTTTATTATAAGAAATTTTACCCTTTTCTTTCAATCTAAGTTATTTTAAATTATTTGTATCGTCGATCATAAAAAAAAATTGAACGAATAAATTCAATACGAATGATCTTTATCGCTACAATTCTATCATTTTATCCTAATGCAATATGATAATTTCATAAACAAAGTGTGTCAATCAAAAAAAAGCACCAATTTCTATGAAAATGGTTATAGCACGCGTATAAGTACGAATTTTTCGATTGATTTTCAGGTTTACCCTTTGAATTGAGCGTATTTTGGCAACAATATCCATGGCAATGGGGATTAGGAATATGCAAACTAAGAGCGTACGTCTCTGAAACGTGAGTCAACGTAATGAAAAATGAAAAATATTAGAAGCAAATAACGCTAAAGAAAACAAAAAGATATCAAGTTTACATAGAAATACAAAAATTTTCTTTTTGAAGGTCCTCTTACGTGTCAGTATTAACTATAGTGGCATTCTCAATAGAAAGATATTTGGCAATTTATCATCCTCTTCGTCATTATCAAAGCGGTTTGAAACGTGCTATACGGTCTATCTTTGGTGCATGGTTGATAGCTTTAATTTTTGCTATGCCGTTCGCAACTTACATCGATATCAATTACGTTGAATATCCACAAAGTGAGTTCTTGAGCAAAATTGTATATTTTCATTTTTTATGGTTTTTTAATCATCATTCATATTAAAAAAAAATTTTTTTCTTCAAATTTTTTCAAATTCTTTCTACGTTTACACAATGAAAGTTGATAGAAGAACGAAAAATAATTCTAGATCATTATACAATTTGTATAATTAGATATATAGGCTAGAAATTTAAACAACTAATAGGGGATAAATGTATAAATGTCATACATTCGTATTACAAATGATATTATATTAATATAATAAATAGAAATTCAAACAACTATAACGAATAAACGTATAAATGTCATACATTCGTATTACAAATGATATTATATTAATATAATTTTCCATTAGGATCGGTACAATATCAGATATTTACTCAATCATATGAGCTATAATTACAGATACAGTTTATGAGCCGAAAATTTAGTCAATAATAAAAATTTATTGATTCAATAATGAATGGTTTGGAAAATCAGGAACAAATGAGAGCAGGAAACGCGATTAGAAATATTTTTCGGAAATATATTTTGATCATGAATATATATTTCATATATTTCATTGGTTTTCGATACGAATTCTCTTTCTGAATGTTTTGCTTCATTTTCATTTACAGACTCCAAACGAAATTCAGAAGAGTCCGCGATTTGTGCGATGCTGAAAGAAAACATGCCTGAATTTCCTCTCTATCAACTTAGCTGCATCCTCTTTTTCCTCATACCAATGGCGTTTATCGCGGTGCTTTATATTCGGATAGGATTACGAATACAAAGTGATAGCCTTACGGAGAACGTCGAGGGATACGTTCACGGGGAAACGAAACAAGTCCAGTCACGAAAAACCATCACACGAATGCTGAGTAAATGATCAATCTTAAATAAACATTATTCCGTTCTTTATATCCATAAAGTTTTAATGTGCTCGTAAATTACAACATTAGTCGCACGCGTATATCTTTGCCGTGCCAGTAAATATGAGAAATTGATTCAACCATGACGACGGACATTATTTCACATAGATTATATCCTATCAAGGAATGTGTTTTAGAAATTGATGAGGAAACTGACGTTTGAACGTGGACGTCAAACTCTTTGAGATCATCACATCACAGACAATTTTCATCTTGTCGATAATATGTGACATCTGAAAATAAGAATATTCTTGCTCGCTGGAAATACATTTGAAAATTTTATTACTCGATTAATTTTTTTCCTTCTTTAAAATCTTTAATTTTTATTTTAATTTATTCATAAGCATTGCTATTTATTTTCTTTGAAATTCATTGTAGATTGTTAATATCTTTTATTTTTTTTTATGAAAAATTATAAAAAAAATCAAAAGATAAAAAGGAAAGAAATAGAATAGTAAGTAAATGAAATTTGGTATAAAATATTCACTGCTGATACGAAGAGGCTGAAGCCAATGATAGAAAGAAATCGTGCTTCGAATTGATTCTTCAGGTGCCGTGGTGATCACATTTTTCATCTGTTGGGCGCCGTTTCATGTTCAACGATTATTATATGTGTATGAGGACTCGACATACGATGACATAAACCAGTGGGTATATCCGCTCACTGGTTGTCTTTACTACTTCAGCACGACTATTAATCCTATATTGTATAATGTGATGAGCGCGAAATATCGGAACGCTTTTAAAGAAACGTGTCGATGCTCGCCTAGCAATCCATCCATTCCCAGAACCGGCCTAAGTAGCGTGAGAGATTCGAGTATAATTTGTGGTAACAAAAAATCTCAGGTTTTTCGTGGAAGAAGTGCAAATAAACAAAATAGTTGTAACATGTAAGTTAAATTTCGTATATAATTAAAAACATCTACCTCGTTACTCGTTAATCTCGTATCTCTTTCTAAAATTTTCCTGAATTCCGAATTGTTTATTACATGAAAGTTCATAAACGAATTTAACTTTGGGAATTGTTCCCGAGGCAGATACAACGCATCGAGCCGCATGGAAAACAACTTACGAGGGGAAGCGCAGCTAGACCATAGAGAAAAGCGACAAAATGTATTTGCAAACGATTCGTTGACAGCGGAAAACAATGAAATTGTAGCTGCACAGTTTTTAAATCAATTAAAAAAATCATCAGTTTTGGTGCATACGAAAAATGGACGTCTCAAATATCAAGTGTCTGATAATAATACATCTACAAATGAGACACATATCTGATTGCTGAATCGTAAAAAAAGGTAAATATACATATTGTAAAAATAATTTCGAATGGTATAAATTATTAATTTCGGAATATTAACATGAAAATATCGTTTATTTTAAACCTTTAAAACAGCGATTACTTTTTTAATTCATTAATTTCTGACTTATCTTGTTAAGAAAATTAATTCACACGTTTCAAAATTCTTGCACTTGAGATATAACGAAAAATGTGAATCGATATAATTGAAAAATATAATTTTGATATTCAAATTTTATGTGATGTTCGGAAAAATGTATGATGGAACATAAGGTATAAATATATTATCTTTCAACAAATGTAGCCTTAAAATATTTACGATAATAACATTAAAAGTTATTAAATTTGATATTTCAGTCGAAAAAATTGATGAATTTTTATTACGATTAGTTGACACTTAAAGACATAATTTTTGAATAATATGAGAAAAATTTTTCAAGAAAAACTATAAAAATATGGACGAACTAATAATACGCATAGAATAGAATATAATTATATTACAACGATGAAAAATATTATGGATTTAATATCGATTTGATTTTGGTGAATTTTTAATATTAAATTTTTGTGTTAAATATTGTATATAGATGAATATACACGATAAATAGTAGCTTTCTTTCGAATCATGTATCATGTAACAAAATTATTAATATACTATATATATATATATATATATACTACAATATATTGACTATAAATCTATTACACATGTAAACACATTTGATTAGATTGTAATATTATATATATTATTATATTAAATATATTATTACATTTATATTACGATTAATAATTTTAAAACCTTTTCAATTTAATTTTTTTTCTTAATTCTTTTTTTTAATACAATTTTGTACATATATATTTTGATTTAAAAAATATATTTGCAGACAATATTTGACAATTCTAAGATTTGAATTTGAAATTTCATTTTTTTTTATAGTTTTACAGTCTTTTTACAGTCCTTTTTACAGTTTTTTTTAGCATTATTCTTCATTTTGGGATTTGTAAAACATGGAGTTTTTTCAAGTAATAAAAAGAGCAACGATTTTTATAGATATTTTCTCATTATGATATTTGATAGAAAATATATGATCAAATATACAATATACATATAACATAATATATATCAATCAAAAATCGAACTTAAAATTTCCATAACTTTGTTATTAAGATTTCCAAAATCAAATCCAAAATCAACTTTATGATTAAATCAAAAAATTTTAATGAAAATCTTTGCAAAATTTAATTTACCTTATTGAAATTAAGTGTTAAAATATTATTTTATTGAATGTTAAAAATAAGAGAAAAAAACAAATAAATTTATTTTGAAATATAAAACATGTATTATCATTATTTTTATTTTTTTATCAAGAAACAATATAAAACATTTGCTATAATTCTTTTATTACAACTATCTTTTTACATTTTAATAAAACTAATTTAAAGAATTTTTTTTTATCTAGTTTATTTTATTACTTATTCAATAAAATATTAATTTTTTTTTTTTAACGAATTTTCTTCGACGAAATAGTTAAAACTTAAAACTTTTAGTGAAATTCATAATATTTATTCAGCAATACTTAATATTATTTTATCTCTGATAAAATTTATTTTCGTTTAATTTTGACCACTTATTTGAATTCTAATTTTTGTAATAGATGATTAACAATTTACGATATAAGAGATATAAGAGATAATGATTAGTAAAATAGTAAATTATTTAAAGAGATATTTTGAACGACTATGATAAATTATAATCAATGCAAATTATCCTATTTTCATTGACTTTTTTTATCAATAAAATGATTACATCTTTCATATCACATAATATATCATTAATAATATGATTTTGGGCAATTAAATCAACTTTTCAGAATTTATGAAAACCAATGAATGAAATCCAAAACTAATATCTGGACTTATTATCTAGATTGATGTCAAATCTCTTCTCAATGAAGAAATGATATAATCAATTTTTTGTCCAATTTAGAGAATGCAATAATAAATAACAATTCATTTATAGAACTAATTTTAAGAAATCTATTTTTAAAGTTATGATGTTTTATTAACAAATTTGAAGATTCAATTTCAATATTTAATCATATCGAAGTTCGATATTTCGGTTGTATATTTATATTAATATGTCATAACAATATATCATAACAATTTTATTATTATACTCATAATTATATTATCAGATCTGATATATATATTTTCTGCATGTTTTAATTCATTTTTTAATTCATCTATACCATTTTTTCATTGAAAAGAGATATTAATCAATCATAGCTATTAATTTTCTAAGAAATTATTAAGTTTTTTTTCTATTTAATTAAATAATTTAATGATGGCAATCACAAATAATGTAATTATTAATATATAATTATATAATTTTCTTTCTTTAATTTTTTCTTAATTATTCATTATTACAAATATAAAATTTAATATTTCATTTAAGATTATAAAATAAAACTTATATTTTATTTTAAATAAAAATTTAATTTTAATTCCAACTATTATTAGTGCAATATTATTTTATGCTGAATATTTTATGCTTATGAGAATAATATTAAAATGGTAAAAAAGTTTGTATCATTTTTGATACGTAATATATATATTGATATATATAAATAATATGCATGGAATAGTAGATCTATATTATAATTTATCTATGACTTATAACATTCTAGTTCTTTTTGATGTTAATAGTTGGCTATACTGATATAAAATTTTAACGTACTTATTCAAATGTGAATAGTGAATAGTGAGTGTTATTCTCAATTTTATAGTTATTTTAACATAATATATATACAATAAAACTTTTAAACTGATTATTATATTATTTGTTTACATTTTTATAAATGTATATGATAACTTTAATTTTACTCTTTAATTTCACTATTTGTTTTTGTTTACACTTATGTTTTTTATTCATATAAGAGTATTTTAATCAGCATATAAAAATGTAATAAAATATTTAACTATTTAGATTGTTTATTAAAAAAAGTATGCCTAATTACAGTAAGTAATTAATTTTATATTTTATATAAATATATATGTATGTATATTTTGTATGTAAATTTAAATTTTTTTGATAATTTTAATAGGAAATGAATCTTGTAGCAAATATAAAGCACAATTTGAAGATTGTAATAAAAATGATGATGTAAAGATGGAATCTAATATAAAAATGACAGAATCTTTTTATAATTCTCAAAATTTTTGTTTAAAATTGTCACAAGATTCTAATATATCTGATGTTCAAAATGTTAATGATGCAGATGTAATAATAATGAGTGACTCCAGTTCTAAATCAACTTGTTCTATACCTAAATATATCTTAGGATCAACATCAAATAATCATCCTACAATAGATAATACTATTTATATTGAAGATTCTTCAGATTCTGATTCTATAGATACTACAAATGAAAAATATTTCCAATCTTGGAGAGCAAATAAAAAATCCTATTTTATTAATAATTTTCAAGAAAGAAAAGATATTCTAAAAAAAAATAATATATTGCCTATATCTGATGACTTTTCATCTAGTAGTAGTGGACAAGAATATATAACAACTTCTAAGACAAATAGTAGTTATATCAGTAGTTATATCAGAGAAAATAGAGTTAATGATATATCAGAAACAAATATTCAATGCAATACTAATACTACTGATATTAATAATTTAAAAAATTCTAATGATATTATTCTATTACCTAAAACCACATCTCATATTAATAGTGATTTAAAAAAAAAAATTTCAAAAGAAGATTCTAAAAATATTATAAAAAATATAAAATCTACACGGATAATATATGAATCACCTAAAATTCAAAAAGAAAAAAATGTGATATCTAATAAGGAAATAGATAACAATATTATACATCCAGCTATTTCACCTAAAAATAATTTAAAAACAAATAATATATTTATTGATGAAACTCAAGAGGATTCTGAAAGTGATATTATTCAAGATTCTCAAGTGAATCTTACACATTCTTACAAAACTCGTGTTAATAAATTTTTAAATACACCATGTATAGAAAAAGATACAACATCTATTAAACTATCAGAAAGAAAAAGAAAACAAATTTCACAATGGCTTATGACAAATTTACCTGATTCTCAAAGTGATAGTTCACTTGATATTGTGCCTCTTACTAATAAGCATGATAAAAGTTCTGGAAATAGCAGTTTGGAAAGATTAGAAATGAATTATGAAACTCCAAACAATAGGGGAAAAATAAATCAATTACCTATAAATGAAAGTAAAAATATAGATTCAAAATGCAATAAAACATCTAATCCCACAGTATTACGTCAAACTATAATAAATGAATTTGTTCAAAAAAAAAAAAATTATGAATTTCATACATCACACAAAACTCATACTAATGATAATAAATTTTCAACTCCAAAAAATACTCCAACAAATACATCCCAAAATATAGATATCAGGGACTGTGCAGATATATTAGATAAATTATATGGTAAATCTTGGCGCAATAAGGCTGATATATTGTTTCCAAAATCTGAACCAAGAATGATTAATACAATTAAACAAGCAACTACTACAAAAAATAGAGCTGTTCAAACTGAAAGGTGATTACAATTATTATATATTATACTATATTATATATATTATACTATATTATACTATAATTATACATTAATAATAAATAAGATTTATAAATTTATTGTTACAGAAAGATAATAAATAGAGAAAGATTGTATATATCAGATTCAGACAGTTCTAATACATGTAAGTAATTATATTGTAGATAGTTATATTCATTAAATTATATTTTACACTTATTTTAAAAAGATAGTTTTAATAATTTTAAATACAATTTATAGCTTTAAGAGATTTAAAATTACAAAATCGATCAAAAAAGAAAAGTGTACGAAAAAATATGAAACGAAAAGATGATACTTTTATAAATGATCAAACATCATCAGGAAGTGAAAATGAAAGTTTATATTATACTGCATTAACAAATCCAAGAGTATCAAGTACACAAAATAGTAC